TATATATATATATATATATATATATATATATATATATATATAGGCGATGTTGCATTTTTTTAACTTATATATATAAATATATAAATAAAAGATTTCATATATATATAAATATATGTATATGTATATATATATGTATATGTATATATATATACCGAACGGTATACCGAGTGATATACCGCTCGGTATAAGTACCATACTGTCCCGAGAGAATGTCGAAACTTTGGTACGGTATGATATTTCAATCCTTAGATAGAACAATTCTTTTCTCTCTTCATGTGAAATTTAAATGCTTAGAGAGTGTCATACACCGGAAGGCTGAGCAAGTGCGCCCATCTATTGCATAAGCTTCTTTGCTAAGTGTGTGGCATGCAACAGTTTCTATCTATGGTCATTAAAAATGTGGCCCTAACTGCTCCCCACCTCTCCTCACCTCCCAAAGGCAAAAGAAGGTACAAATATCATAAAAGCGAAATCTTCCTCTTAAATCCAAACCCTATTATGGACTCTTTGAACTGTAACCATTGTTTCGGACTTACTAATTATAATATTATAAGATAAAGTGAACTAGAATATGTTTAGCACAGTCCATTTAGTACATTATCATCTATAACATATTACCACAAGCTTACTTGATATATGAACTTTACATCATGGTCCTTCAAAATATTGAATTTAACATAACAGACCATGTTTATAACTTTAAAATATCGGTTTACGAAAATCATAAATAAGTCCATCAGACTTGACAAAACCAGATTATTGCAAACTGGTGTATATTTTTTTTGCTATTTATGAAAATATGTTTATCATTATTGTTGTTTTTACAAGTTTATTTATGGGCAAACTGGTTTTTACGCTTTCTAGAGACTATATATGTTTGTAACATCTTAATCATCTGGGAAAGAGGAAAATAAACTGATGAAGTTAATGCGAGCAATATACAGGTCTTCGAAGAGGAGAACATGCTGATATTTTGACAAATCTTTTGAGATTTCATTGAGATGGTACAGTGATGTTGATGAAATCAGGAAGATAAAGATTTAATAATGAAGTCGAATGAAGAGGAGCTTGGCTAATGAGAACTTGGTTTACTGTTGTAAAATAACCTGATATAGCTTGGTATACTGTGTAATTATCCGGAAGTGAAAGATGAATAATGGCAAAGTAGAAATGACTTGGAATTAATCAGGATTTGAATGTTATATCTAGTTTTGTATGTAAACCATTTTTATTTATCTTCTTGATAATATTTTCTATGGAGACGATTAGGTTTAGGGAGACAGAGAACTGATAATTGCTGTGTTGTTCCAAGTGTTGTTCTTATGTTGGATTATCACAAAGTAGTCTGACAGCAAAGTTCCTGTGTTGTTCTTTTGATTGCTGATGCTAGTTCTGTTAATGTTTCTCTTGAATTCAGTAAATAAGATACAGTTAAATCGTTGGATTGACATTAATAGCTCTATTGATCCACATTGTCAATCATCAAACAATGAGTGTTTTTCTTAAAAACAAACCAGGTTTATTTCATTTATCTTATTTGTAAATTGTCTCTGTATGCCCACAGTTTGTTTCAGTTGTCATAGATCTTAGGATAATTGTTTCTTAGTCTTTCAGACACATGTTTTGATATGTTTGTTTTGTCTTAATCCAAATCCTATTTTGTTCGAGAACCACAGTTGTGCATATTAGTTAATTAGTAATTTGTATCAGGCTTCCCTTTTTAGGACTTTTCTTGCTTCTAGTCAGATGAGTACAACATTCATAGGATTTAAGATAAATATTGAAGCAATTTGGAAAACTTGGCAGTCGACTACAGTTTCTTTGCTTTTAAAAAAGCATTGCCAATTTATTATAATTATTATCATGATGCTGCGAACTGACTGAGGTTTTCGTACACCTTGCAGGTATGACTATTCTGGATATGGACAATCATCTGGAAAGGTTAGATAATTGTCTCCTTAGCTTTTCTTAATGACATTTTATTTCTTTACAGCATTGTGTCATTGATAGGATGATAATAGGGTCTAAGTAAAGAAATTTCCATTCTTGTAGCCAAGCGAGCAAAACACATATGCTGATATAGAGACTACTTATAAATGCCTTATAGAGAATTATGGTGCTAAGGAGGAAGAAATTATCCTCTATGGTCAATCTGTGGGAAGTGGTCCAACTGTGGATTTAGCTTCTCGCCTGCCTCACTTACGAGCTGTTGTGTTGCATAGCCCTATACTTTCAGGTTTAAGAGTGATGTATCCTGTAAAACGCACATACTGGTTTGACATCTACAAGGTTAAGTTTCATCATAATGCTTATCTTTTTCTTCTTCTTTTGATGTATCTATTGCATATCTTAACTTTTTAGTGTCATTCTCTTTCCAGAATATTGACAAAATATCATTGGTCCATTGTCCTGTGCTAGTAATTCATGTAAGTATATCTGCTCTTACATTCTTTATTTACTTAAAGCATTAAATATTATGTAACTGTCATGTGGCATCGTTTTATTCAGGAACTAACATGTAATTATTTCTTTATTCATGCTTAAAGAACTACTGTATGGCTTTAGCAAATATCTAATGAAACAAAAAATGAAAAGAAATTCCAACGAAGCATACATGTAAGCCATGGTCACATGTATTTTTTAGCTCACTTTCTATTGTAAGGTCATTGAATTTCCCAATATGCTTCATACGGTCTGCTTTCAAGAACCTAGTTGATTGTTGTGTTTCAGTAAATGTTCAACTGCTGGCACTATTCTGTCTTTCGGATTTTTATCACTTTTTTACAATGAAATATGAGTGATTGTGGACTATCAGCTTTGAATTTGCACTTTTTCAGCACATCTCTTGCATTTTTATTCTTTTTATATGGACATGATCATTCTGCCAACTGCTTTTATTTGATATTATGGATCTGACTCTTTATAACATGCTCAAACTTGCACTCCCATTTATCTCCTATCCAAATTCATACATGAAACAGCATCGGGTGTTTTTTTCACTTTTCTCCTCGATATTACATATACATTGACATGGCTAAGTTTCAATGGAGAGCTGATACTACAAACCATTGTTCTCTTGAATTTATCGGCCCCATAAAAAATCTGGTCAATACTAGGTGTTAACCTTTGTTAAATGCATAAGCTGATGTCACTTTCATTGGTATGAGACCAAAAGCATAAGCTGATGTCACTTTCACTTTAGAGCATCAGTGCTATCCTTGTATATCAGATCGCCCATGAAAAACATGTCCAACTTTTTGCAGCTCATTCTTAATCCAATGTTGTTGGAATATGTGTTATTTTTTCCTCAAAACTAAGTTTATAGACATTAATTTCCTGGTAAAAGAATTTCAGGAAACAGTAGCACAAGCACCACTTTGTGAGCCATTGAAGTGTCTGATTATAGTGCCCCTAGTTATGTCCTCCTTACAGTACAAAACTTCACAAAGTTTCATAGTTTGGGCAAGTTCTCTTCAGCTTCAACTTAATATCTTGCATATGATTTTTAAGTATATTTCTAAATGGTGCTTATTTGTTGGGATGGTTGTTTGTTTCCCATAATATACAAGACAAACCTTCATATCTTGTCATGTTCATATGCAGTGTTTGTGTCCATGCTTCACAAGTCACAAAAAGGATCTAGTTCCAAGCTGATTATTATGTAAAATTTGTAAAATCAGCTTCAGTGTGCTTACTTTCTAAAGAGAGACATGATTTGTATTATTAAAATTTTCAATTTGCCAAATTACATACAAATCTGTATGCTACAATTGGAAGTTTCACTTTTACCTTGAAAAGTTGCAAACACCATATGTTGCCCCTTAAAGCATTGGATTTTGCTGATCTTTACGAGGTAAATATGAAACTTTAGAACATCGCAACTGTGTATAAGCAATTGCCTTCTGTAATAATGGAGTTGCATCAGTAATAGCACATGCAAGCTATTGCATGTGTCTACGATTAGGATGGATCCTGTTTCAGACTTCTCCAATTCTTTGTATGAAAATATGTTTTAGAGTGTGATTGCAGTCATTTATTCATATGTTTTCTGATATGCAGGGAACATCAGATGATGTCGTAGACTTTTCTCATGGTAAGAAGCTTTGGGAATTGTGTAATGAGAAGTATGAACCACTTTGGCTAAAAGGAGGGAGGCATTGTGACTTGGAGCTTTTCCCAGAGTACATTAGACATCTCAAGAAGTTTATATCTACAGTTGAGAAATCACCTTCTCAGAGGAGAACCTGGAGAAAAGGTGCAGAACAGTTTGAACCATCAAGGAAGAGCACTGACTGCTTTGAACCATCAAGGAAAAGCATTGATCGCAGAGAAAAATCTAGGTCAACCACAGAGAAGTCGAGAAACAAGGATCAGAGATCTACCAATGTGGAAAAGTTGGAAAAAGTAAAGGTATCATTTGACCAATTGGAGAAGTCTAGGAGGAGTTTAGATTGCTTTGATAAGTCCAGGAAGAACATTGATCAACTCGACAGAGGACGGAAGAGCGTTGACAGACTGGATAGGATATGGGCTGGGTGAGCTTTTTTACCTATTTGTAAAATTCATACATGGGCTTGATTGTGTTAGGAGAAGCATCTGTACATTTATTTATGTTTACCGATCACATAATATATCTATGGATGTCTATATAGCTTGGGATATATGTTGAAAGTTTAGTTGAGTGATTGTTGCTCTCGGACAAAGATTTTTCTTATGACAATTAACCAGTTTTATGTTCTGCAAGATTCTTGTTATTGGAAGTTGTCTGAAGTTTTCAGTGACTGTTTTTCTACATCTCTCCTTCCGACAATCAAACTGTTTCCTGCAAATCTTGAAACATATTGAGGCCATCTAATTCTTTTTCACTAATCTTAGGTCGAGTGCTTTTTGTTGGATTTTCCCTCTGCCAGTTCCTATTTTTCTCTTAACTGTTCAGTCTTCAAGATCAATTTTCGCACTCAGCACTTACAGTTCTTTGATTACCATGGCATAGTTGATAGTACTTTCCAACAAGAAATTTATGACTAGGTGAACTATCTCTTGTTGGTGCTTAAACCTGTTTTCTCTCAAATCATTTTTTTCCCTCTATTTTGTTTCTAGTTCTGTTTCTCTAACCTAAGAAATATATTTAATTTTTATAATTATTTTTTTAAAAAAATTCCAGATGTAAATCTTTTTCAAGTTCACAAATTTTTTTCGGTGCTATTTGGATTTTGGAATGTAATGCTTCTGCCGATCTAAACCTATGAAGTATTGGTCTAGGGGTAAATTTATCAGCTTAGGTTATTCTGATGCATTCAATCAATTATAAAGCTTCAATTTCTCAATATTTGTGAATCTCTCTAGGTTACGAGAAGTGTCCTTAGCAGCTTATAAATAGATGATTAGCATTTGGGTGGTGAAGGTTGTGTTTGAAGAAAGACTAGCTAACTATTCAAAAATATCACTTCTGGTGTACAACATATCAGTATATCCGATTATCTCAATGTCTCTCTCGAATAATATATGATCGAGATTATTAAGGATTTATGTTTAAAGATGAATCGATTCATGATCTTATCACGATCTAATTCCATCCAGAAACATCACAATATATGCAACAGATAATATTAAATAAAAAATATCAAATAAATAATATACAAAAAGAGTGTATATCATGTTATATGTATCATCACTCATGTGATTGACTTCATGACACCTATGACTAGTAATCAACTCTCATGAAAACTAAGGTTTGTCATTGCTTATGATGGCTCTTTGCGTTCTCTAATTCTTGTACAACATTCTATAGATCAACAGGTTGAAGTGCAAGTGATTGCTAGTCATAACTCTGTAATCATTCTCATTAAGTCCATCATTTATTATCATCAATTTTTTATTTATTATGATTTAAATATTTTAATTTTTCATTCATTATGAATATCATAATGTAATCGTTATTATTAAATATTTTATTTAATATCATTAAAATTTTTTATTATGGTCCAAATATTATAAATTTAAATTAATTCTTGAACGTTATGAAGTTGGTGATAATAAATGTTCTTGATGGGAGAACGTCTATATAAACGAGGGTTTTAGTTGTTGGGCTCAATATCTTTCTCTAAGTCTAAAGGATTTCCTATACCATTGTTGAAATTCTCGACAACAATGGCTAGAGGTATGCAATTTTCATTTTCGCATTAGTTTTTTTGTGTTTCTATTATAATAGTTTAGAAATATATTTTGGTATTAAAAATATCTAACAATCGGTATCAGAGCCATTAAATTTTGCTTTGATATGAAAGAGTTTTCGTTTTTTTTATACAATGAATATGGCTTAATTTTGGTTTCTTTTTGAAATTTCTTGATATATTTTGATAGTGAAAATCATGAGGATATAACATTTTTAGTATTTTTAGTTAATAAAATACTCATATTATTTATAAATATTTGATTATATTAATTCATGCTTATGAGCTAATTTTATATGTTCAAAATATCTAGTGACTCATATAATCTTAATTAATTAGAAATTAGTCATAATATCCTTAAATAATTAAAATTATATATAAAGTTAAAATAAGGATCATATAAGTAATCAAACATAATATTATGACTGATTATATTTAATATAATAATAATTATCCTATAGGATCTTTTATTATATTTATATAATTAATTAGGATAAAATATTAGATTATTTTCATAATTTACCCACAGGGATTATGAATTGGAATATAATTTGATAGTTTTATCATAAAGACCATTTGAATATATTTGAATTAAAAATTTAGCCTACAAATAATTTTTATGTCATGAGATTCATCTTTTGGCATGTTTTACATTGGTAAAACACACAATTTAAACTATTAAGCCTCAAATTTTGAAATAAACATGTTTGATTTTATGTAGTTTCTCAAACTGTTAATTTATCTGATATTCGATGTGACATTCTCGAACTTAGGGGTGATAACCATAAGATATGAAATGAGAGAATTCTCCTATATTTAGGATGGATGGATATTGATTATGCTATTAGGAAAGATGAATCACATACAGTCACTAATACTAACACTCCAACTGAGGTCGCATTATATGAACGATGAGAGCGATCCAATCGGCTCAACATGATGTTTATCAATACTAAGATAACTATTGACATATGTGGTTCTGTTGACCAGCATGAGAAGGTCCGAGACTTGCTACAAGCTATCGATAAGCAATTCATTACTTTGGAAAAGACACAAGCAAGTACCTTAATAATAAAATTCTCATCCTTTAGACTCACCAACATAAAGGGTGTGCATGAGTATATAATGCAAATATGAGATATTACAGCTCAACTTAAGAAACTCGAGGTTAATATGTCAGAATCCTTCTTGGTCACTATATTCTAAATATTCTTCCACATCAATACAAGCCCTTTAAGATTTCATACAACACACAGACAAATGGTTAATCAATGAATTAATAGCCATGTGTGTTCAAGAAGAAGAGAGGCTAGTGATGGAACTAGATGAGAGTGCATTGGTGATAACTACTCATGGGAAGAATAAAACTAATAAAAATCAAACCAATCAAAAAGCTCATCAGTAGGGAAAAGGTAAAATACCACCTCAAGTTGATATCAAGAAAGAAGCAAAGTATTTCTTTTGTAAAAGGAAGGGACACATGAAGAATGAATACATGAAATTCTAACAATGGTTTGAAAAAAAAAGGTAAACCAACATCGTTTATGTGTTATGAATCTAATATGGTTAATGTTAATATTAACATCTAGTGGATTGACCCTGGATCAACAATCCATATTGCAAACTCTTTGTCGGGTATGCAAAACCTAAGGAAGCCAATAGAAAGTGAGCAAAGCATCTTATTAGGAAACAAGATCGGCTCAAATATGGAGGCAATTGAAACATATATTTTAACTTTAAGTAATGGTTTTGTTTTAAAATTGGAAATGACTTTTTATGTGTCAAGTTTCTCACGAAATTTAATTTCTATTTCTAGACTCGTACTAGTTGGATATTGCTTTAATTTTGAAGGCACATCATTTCATTTATTATATAAATCTAATTATGTTGAAAAATATATTTTGTCTGATGATCTTTATCGTATTTTCTTACAAAATGATGATACTCAAAGTTCAATGCATGTTCACGCCGGCACCAAAATGTGTAATATTAATGGAGACTCCTCTATGTTATCACACCGAAGATTAGGACATCTCTATAGAGAGAATTAAAAGATTAGTTAATGATGGGACACTTAGTACTCTTGATTTTATTAATTTTAAGACTTGTGTGGACTGTATTAAGGGAAAGTAGACCAATAAATCCAAAAAAGGTGCTAATAGGAGTTTAGACATATTAGATATCATTCATACTGATATATGTTGTCCAAACATGAACATACATGGTCAGAAATTCATCTCTTTTATAGATAATTACTCATGATATATGCGTATCTATTTGCTTTATAATAAAAATAAAGAACTAGATGCCTTCAAAGCATTAAGGCTGAAGATGAGAACCTAAGTAAATTAAAATTGTGAGATAGATAGATATGGAGAATATTAGGTAGATATATTGAAAATGGATAAACACCTAGTCCTTTTGCTAAGTTTCTTCAAGAACATGAGATTGTTCACCAATACACTATGCCTAGTTCTCTAGACCAGAACAATGTTGTAGAAAGAAGAAACCAAACATTATTAGATATAGTGTGGAGTATGCTTAGCAACTCCAATCTTCCTAAGTTCTTGTGGACTAAAGCACTAAAGATGACTGTGTATATATTAAACCAAGTTTCAACCAAGGGTATCTTAAAGACACCAGTTGAATTACGGAAAGGTTGGAAACCAAGTATGCGACATATACACATTTGGGAATGTCTGTATGAGGTCAGGATATATAATCCACAAGAGAAGAAATTGGACCCGAGAGCTATTAGTGGGTATTTCATTGCATATGCCGAAAAGTTCAAAGGTTACAGGGTCTATTATCCATCTCACACAACTAGGATTGTAGAATCAAGAAATGCTAAATTTATTGAGAATGACATGATTAGTGGGAGCGATCAGTTCAGGAACATAGTTTCTGCATGCACATGATTATATAGAATGCCAACCTTCCACATCAAATGATAGATTGATTATAGTTCATAGCACACCTAAGTATAAACTAGTGCTAAACAACTAATCATTAAGATTCTATAAGTTGTTGATAATATTCTAATAGATTAAATAGTTCAGGAATTACAACAATCTCCTAAACAACTAGATGAACCATAAGTTCCTCAAGGAAACATTGGTACAATATTAAGAAGATCTATTAAGAAATAAAAGATCAGCAATTTCTAGTGATTATGTTGTATATCTATAAGAATCTGACTATAATATTGGAGCATAAAATGATCTCATAACATTTTCACAAGCTGTGAGTTACAAAGAATCAAATTTGCGGCACGATGCCATGAAAGAAGATATAAATTCCATGAAAAGCAATGGAGTCCGGGATCTTATAAAGTTGTCTAAAGAAGAAAAGACTATTGGCTGCAAATGAGTCTTTAAAACCAAGAAAAATTCATTAGCTAACATTAAGAAATATAAGACAAGACTTGTTGTAAAGAGATTTACTCAAAAAGAGGGAATCGATTATATGGAGATGTTTTCTCCTATATCTAAGAAAGATTCTCTTCATA